TTAAGTCCCAGTTTTGATTAATCCTGTGGATTATCTAGACAGTGCAGGAAAATTTATCTAATCTTACCTGAAAATCTCCTTTAAGCACCAGCCCTTTCCAGAGATAGTTTAACCACCCAAATCCAGAGTTGGCAATTGGCATCCAAAAAGTTAATTTGCAGAAAGCCTATCTCTGTTCTGGAGTGTGTTTTGAAGTGGTAGAAACCATGTAGTTCTCACCCCTGCCTCCTTCCAGAACAGTTATTCTGATCTGTAATACATTAAGATACCATAAATGAAGGAGAGGGGAAAATACTCAAAAACCTCCCAAAACACACAAAAACCCCAGACCCCAGGATCAGAGTGAGAAGACTTTGCTGCTTTATAAGTGCCATTGTCTTCCTTACCTCATCTGCACACCCATTGGTCAGAGAGTCAGTTAAAAAAATGGTAGAAAATCTGTCTTGAGAAGAAGACTTGAGATAGGTCACCTTTATCTTGTTGAACTTACCAAACAGAAGGATAATATTACTGGCAGCTTTTCCAAAGTGTTGCAGACCCCAACAAAGGGGAGGGTTTTGAGAGCCACCTGGACACTGGACACTTTCTGTGCTAGGCTTTGGTGGTGCATTCTGCTTGTCCTCATGGCTTCTTCATGCTTGTCCTTTTGGTGCAGGTCATCTTCCTGTTGATTTTCTGTTTCAACAAAAGTTTGTCAGAACCTAATTCAGACTGCCCTTTTTGTCACTGCAGTTGTCCTAAAATCAGTTCCCAGCTCTGATACTTTTTTTTGCAATCATGCTGTCAGTATTTCCTTGTAACGAACCTCCTGTGCTTTTTGCCATTTTATGGGGCCATATATAAGCTGTAGCGTGTATTTTTCATTGTATCGTTTTCACTTCAGGCAAGATCTCCTTGGAGCTTTCTGCACTCTGTAACTGGGCCACAGATGGCCATGGGCATGTTATTCGAGGTGGAGTACAAACTGAGACACTTGCTTCTTTTTGTCCCTTGTGGTTGTCTCTCATTATTTAGTTTTTAAATGTCTCTGTTCTATTCCAAGTGTGTTAAGAGCTCTTCTGGTGTTTAAGCAGCACTAGAAGATCTGATGTCAAGAACAAACTCTTTCTCTCTCACACACCTATTTGTGCAGCTTTTCCATCAAGCATTCTTTGCATGGGATGGAATAACTGCAAAAGTCAACAAGAATATGGCCTCATCCCTTTTCCTCTTGGTAGTGCCTTCCTTACCAGTTTCCTTTTTCTGATGCTGTTCAGTAACTTCAAGGGCAAGTCTATCAATATTATTCAATTAAAAACATTACCAGAATGGCATTTCCTACCCCTTCTTTACCCCAGCTTGTTGCCGCTTGGTAGTTTTGCTGGATTCTGCACACGTGATCTTACTCTGAGAAGCACAAAATGTCATTGTTTGTGGACATGCTAAGAAACCACAAATGCTATTACCAATATCAAAAATTATCTAGCCCTTACTGACAGTTGTGGGCACAATGCTTGATTCTTGTGGCGTAATTAATGAATTTACTTCTCAGTTGTGTGAAGCAAAATGTACTACAAATACTTGCTAATATTCCCCTTGTTCATTATTGGAAAGGACTGAGGCACAGGCTGTTGGGTTTTCTGACTGACCTCTAGAGTTGTGAACATTTCATTCACATCCTGTCTAATAATTCCTCCCAGGCTAGATAATCCTGTGCACAATCTCCTTCTGTACAATATGTCAGTCTTGGCATACTTCTGACCATCTGTGTTGTCCTTTCCTGGGTCTTGTAAACTCTTCCTGTATCTTTTTTATGGTTAAGGCAGCTAAACTTGGGTATGGTGCTCTATTGTGAAAGTTTGTATTGTTGTATTAGTTCACATAATGCTCAAAAATGAGGAATAAAATAAATGAGCTCCTTCCCTGTTCTGATGATAGCACTTTTCAGGGAAAGGTTTGTTTTGGGGTTTCTTTCTCTTTAAGTTTATCTGAAGTTCTAATTTCCCTCAAAGTATTTGAGACTCTTAATGTTTCCTAGAATGCTTTCTGTTTTCTGGACACAGTGATGAACACAGATAGACATTGAGGTAGTGAAGAGAATTCAAAGTGTGGGAGAACCTGTGAGGAACATTGGTTCCTTTTGCTTTTAAGCTCAAAATATGTGTACCATAGCTTGGATAAATTGCCCTGTAAGTAAAAGTGACTGACTTTATGATAGTGTTCTGCAGTGACATAAACAGCAGGGGAAGGAGAGATTTGATGGTTGCCTAGAGGATGATGATTTCTAATCATGAGAGGGAAACGAGCCAACATTTTTTGAGAAGAAAAATCCAGTGAAATTTATTACTCTCTTGAACCATTTCTCTGGGGAAGGAAAGTCAGTGCCATCACTCTTACCCAATTAAATACCAAGCAGCATATATTATTTAATTATATGGTGAAAAATGAATTAATGAGCTGACTTGATATATTCTTCTGCTTTCACACTCCAGGATTCAGTTGTTCCGAACAGAAAGAGGTGGATCCTGTGAGAATAAATACTTGTCAGAGCATTTTTGTAGTGTTCACATTGTATAAAAAATGAGACTGGTATAGAATAAAATGTCAGTGAAAGGTATTTTATTGCTGGAATCCTAGCCAGCTTTGGTTGGTATGGTTGTATGCAATTAAGTCCCATGTCAGTGGAATTATTTGGGATTTTTTTAAAGAAGCACGAGTGAAAAAAGCATTTGTCATGGGACCTGAAGTTTAAAGCATAAATTTTAGCTTCAGCAGTACTGCTATGCAGTAGAATGGCAGAGAGGAAAACAGAGAAGAAAGCACAAAAATCGAGGAGCTGTGGAGAGAAGAGATAGGAAATTTGTCTTAAACTTTTAGTGCTATTTGGTATGGGATGCCACCTTGTGGAAGTTGTTAGGTTGTCATGTCTTTTATCAAATTCTGACTTTTTACTCTTCAGGCACTAGAGAATCCCAGTTGCATAGATCAGCCTTTATAGCCCCTCCATCACCTGATATTTTATGTAATCTGAACTTCCGGTGTTACTCTGCCTTCCCTCATTTAAGCAATTAGGTGCTTCTGACTATTTATAAGTAAACATAAACATGAACCTTCTGGAGTAATCTCCTAGCCACCTTTCTCTTCTGGACCAAATCTCTTTCAAGGATTGTGCTGCAGGATTTTTTCAAATGGTTAAGAGACGCTGGCTAAGGCTTCTTTCTTCTATTTCTTTTGCTACAATCTCATAATTGGTGTTGGATTCTGAGGTGTCATTCTTTATGGGCTGAGCTTTGTATTAATTGTATGTACTCCTTTTTGTCCTCTACTTGTCCTTCCTCTGTAAGCTTTTTTCCCTGAGCTTGCTCTTACCACCGCCTTGTTTATCTGAAGTGATCTATTGCTTTTGGCCTAATGATTCCAGAATTCATTGCACTCTTTCAAAACACTTGAGCTAAGGCTGTGACTTCAGAACTTAATAGAGTATGAAAGTCCAAGGAACACATTTGTGAATGACCTTTGAAGTGTGAAATCAGGATCTTATGGAAAGTTACACTGAACAATTTTGGTCTTTGGTAGAAACTTCTTTGGAAACATTTACAGACTCATCCGTGGAGTGTCATGAAGTCATTGATTAAAGTGCCATCAGCTAATGGCAATGGCAGCCCTGGCAGCTTAGAAATGTCATTTAATACTTTAAATGAATGTTGTGTGGTAAGAGCTGTTCCTGACTTCCTGAACCATTAAGCTCTCAGCCCCTGCCTGCAGTTTTCATCTAATGGTAGAAACAGCTGAACCACAGGGTGGATTCCTGAGTGAGCTTGAGGCACCAAAACTGCAGCAATTCAAGGACAGAGTAGATGAAATTTAAAGCAGGAGCAGTAGGGTGGCTGATTCCATGAGCTGCAGACAGTTTGAACCTGTGGCCATGTCCACTGGGTCCTGCAGCAGAATATGATCAGGTGGCTTCTGTTTTGCATCCCCCCACAGCTTTTTACTACTCCAAGTTCACACTGACCTTGCAGACATCTCATGAAAGGCAATGAGAAATCAATTCAAGCTCATTTAGTGGAGAGGACGAATTTGAAGGAAAAGATGAAAGTCCTACCCTGCCACATGCATGTGTGTATGTTTTGTACCAGTATTTTCATAGGGATAGCTGGTGTTTGACTTTCTCCCACTACTCACATTCCTGTTGCAGCTGTGTCCAGCTCTATGATAGGACACAGATGTTGTGACATTTATCCATACCTGGTGATGCAAAGCTCCCCAGCCACTCTGTGGAGTTACTGTGTGTTGAGTTTTGGAAGAAGAGGTGCTTCCCAGTCTCCTTACAAGAATGCTGAATGTTTCCTCTGTGTTACTCAGTGCATTTGTTACTCTGCTTCCCTTGGGAATGCCTGTGAGCATCTTGCATAAGGCTTGAGCTTGCTGTACATAATGTATCTAGAAATCTGATTTTAATGACATTTTGAGATCACTGACCATCAACACTAATGCTATGAGAACTTGTACTAAAACTCAACCTGGGTACTGTGACTGGGCATTTTATGACAAATATTTACTGAAATTATGCTTTTGATTGTAAATGTCTTCAGGTCTTCCTTGCCTCCCGTAGGATAAGGCAATACAGGGATGAATACTCTGAGACATTGCAGATGACTGCACAAATAAGTGCAACAGAACATTCGTTCAAATAATATTTTTTATTTTCACAGAGAAAGATTGCACTGGGTTGCTGTTGGGACATCAGTGGGTAGCCTTGGTTTCATGTGCTAAGTCTCTCAGAAGAGAATTCTGCCATCTAGTGGCTTTTAAATAGAATTATGAGTACAGGTGACGTGACCAAGTCCAAGTACAAACATTTAATTTCACTTTGTTTCAACATCAAGACACTGAGAGCATTACTTCAGAACATTTACCTGAGAACTTGTTTGTGAAATTCTTTCTTTTCAGAGTTTTGAGGGAAGGAGACAATGACATTTCTGTTAATGGTGAAACCTTTCTTTTGTTTGTCTCTGCAGTTATGTGGCTGTGGTCTGCTGGGCGTAGGCATCTGGCTGTCAGTGTCACAAGGGAACTTCGCCACGTTTTCTCCCAGCTTCCCATCGCTTTCAGCTGCCAACCTAGTCATTGCCATTGGCACAGTGATCATGGTGACCGGCTTCCTGGGCTGCCTAGGTGCTATCAAGGAAAACAAGTGCCTGCTGTTGAGCGTAAGACATCAATATTCCTTTCACTAAAAACAGTGGCTCTTGCCTTGTAATTATTTTATTTGAATGACCTGTGCAAAATAGTCTTGTGGCTCACTGTGACATTGTCCTTGGCTTTCAATCTTCTGTAGGCTTGCAGTACAACATCCCACAGCTTTGGTCACAGTGATATCAATGGTGTATTAGCAAATCTGTCCTTGTTACTACGTGCTCTAATGTATTAGGTAGCAAAGCAAATTGCTATCAGTCACTTCTGAATGGTTGAGCATGAACTGTAGGATCAACCTGGATACCCTTCTGGAAAGGTCTGTTGGAAGGACTGACTGAAAAAATTTTTTGTTCAAAGCCTCTCATGGCTATTTTCTACATTGCTTTTATCTAAGGCCTTTGTCAGAGGATGGTGGAAACCATCTGAGCCAAAGTTAAGAAGTCAAGGTCTCTGCCAGGCCTTATCAGTAAAAAATAAATAGTCTGACCCTCGAAATTCTCTGACCAGCACTGAAGCACAGAGGTTGGGAACCTGTCTCAGAAAACACAGTGTGGATCTTCTCTCTTGCATAAACCCAGGAGGTTTCATCATTAGCTTCCCTGACTAATGATAGGAGGTTATATGGGGGAATATATAATACCCTCCCCCCCCCATATAAATATCCCTCTCCAAAAAAAAGGCTGGGGAGAGGAGAACCCCCCTGCAAGGAGAGGGGTATTGTGGCAGAAGGTGGGAGGAGGGCTTTCAAGGCCGACGGGTTCAAATTCAGTCACAGCTTACAAATCCAGATGCTGTGACACTAAGGAGCAGATTTTCCTTGTGCAAAACTCTCTTATATGGCATTGGGGAACAGCTGGGCAGAATTCCTTAAACCACCTCAGAGAATTAAACTGGAGGCAAAATGTGCACCTAGTTTTTTGCTATCTGATTGCTTGGTTTTGTGTGTTGTACAGTTAGGAAAGCAAACAGAGATTAGTATTGAAGTCCATGTGATTCACCCACACTAACTGCAACACCAGCTTCATTTTTAAAAAAGATTGTATATTCTTACAAGGTTCTGCAGAAGTAATTTTATACTACCATGACTGTCATGAGTTTCCAGTTGAAGAGCTAGCTGGGCTCCACACTGCTTCTTCCCCAGTGTCTGGGGGTCAGGTGCCATACCTGTCTGGAGTCCACCAGGGCATAAAGGCGTGAAAATAAATGCCTACTTGGCCTGAAAAGTAGTGAGGAACAACTAGAACTCACACTTGGGATGCCTCTGCAGAGAGAGAAATTTCAGATACAGAGCTGGGAATAGAAGTGCTGAGTAATATGATGACTATTCCAAAGTCACATGTGGTTCAAGCCCATCTGCTAGGGAATCATTTCTGAGGCACGTCACATTCATCTTTGCGCTAAGGGATTTAGCATCTGTCCTGTAGTCTCTATGAAGGAAAGAGACTCCCAGTAGTGTGTGCTGTCACAGCAGTCAAAAGGAGCAGGACAAAAGCATGGCTGAAACCTGCAACCTGGTAGTAAGCCTGTCATCTTCATAGTTTGTAGCAGCTCCAGATTTACTCTCTACTTGGCAAGTGTGTATACACTGTCTCTTTTTTCTTTGTTCTAGTTTTTCATCGTTTTGCTGATAATTCTCCTGGCTGAGCTGATATTAGTCATTTTATTCTTTGTTTATATGGACAAGGTAAGCAAATATGCCATATTGATTAAGTATCTTTACTAGCATGTAAACCAGGTTTAGTTTTTTGTTTGATGAAAGTATTTGAGTTCCTGGATCTTCACTTTGGTGAAGGTTTAACCTTGAGATTTTGGCTGTTTATTGTAAGCTACTTCTGAAGGGGGAGGAGGAAGTGATGAGGAGAAAAAGCAGGAGACAAGTCCCTGAAATAAAACCATGGTCCAGAGCCTCCCTTTTCATCTTGTCCTGAAATCTTAGATAGCCTTCAACATGTTTGATGTCTGCAAGCTGATCATCTTGTAGTCCTGGGTTGTGGAAGGTCCTGTTTAAAACCTTACAGCTTCTTAGGGCCAGCCCTTGGAACAGGACTGGAGGAGAGAGGCATGAGATATTCACAGGTTATTCCAAATGCCACCAGTTGTCTCACTTGACTGGGCAGTCCCAGAGAGTTTAGTGTGAGTGCAAAATGGATCAAGAGATAGTTTCTCATAAAGCCCATCTGTAGGAATCTGCTATCTTGGAGTGACTAAGTGACTTAAGCACAACTGGCTGGCCCATCAGATACATAACAGTGCAAAAGTGACTGGGGAACTGGAGACCTCTGCTAAACACAGGGCAGAACCTTACAGTATGAATATGTCCAGATTTATTCTAAAACAGCTCCTCCCAGACCTTTATCTCTTCTCAGGTTGTCATTATGATGCCTGCTACTTTCAGGGAGCTGAGGTGAACTGCTGATTTTGACTGGGCTGTAAAAGAGGGATGAAACAGATCTTATAAAATCATTGACCTTTATGCCAGGACCATAATCCTTTCTCTTCTACCAGTTCACTACAGAGCAAGGTACATTCCTACCTGCATCCAGGACTCTGGGCTCAGACTGAAATTAAAACAAGAAATGGCACATCTCAGATACCCTGTTAAGCATTTCAGCTTTGTCTTCTAAAGAAAGAAGAGCACATTTGAAAGTCATAAATCCTACAAGCTTGGCCCCACAAGGAGAAAAACAATAACGTCTTTTTTCAACTGATTTTGTACTGGCTATTGACTGTAGCCTGCCTGAACCCATGCAAGAATAACTCCACTAAGGTTGGGAAGCCGGGACTCTGGGTTTGTGGTATTAGCAAATTAAAACAGGCCACAGGTTAAGGCAGGAGAGGCTGCTGTGGTGTATTGCCAACAGCTGCCTCTGGCAAGGTTACAGCAAGCTCAGCAGAGATGCTGTTCATTTTCAGTTAGTTTTAATCAGATGATGACTGTATGATGGACTTCTGGCAGAGGTCTCCTATCTCAAGAGAATTAACCCACTGTTTTGCAATCTGAGGGAGAGACTAGGCCTTGACGGCTGCTTAAAGGTCCCAATGATTTATGAAGCTGAAGCTTTTTATCCATCTTAAGTTTGTGGTGAGAAAAGGTAAAAGATGGACATTTTCTATGTGTGTTTGTACCATTTAGTCCTTTCCTCTGAACAGCAGTGCATTGACTTCCTCTGTCTTCAACATGGTGCAGGTCAGTGAGAGTGCAAAGAAGGATTTGAAGGAAGGAATGAAGCTGTACAATTCAGAAAATAATATTGGACTGAAAAATGCATGGAATATCATTCAAGCAGAGGTAACAATAGTAAAAAAGTAACTATTTGGTCATCAAGGCTGCTGCAGTGGCATCCATACCTAGTCTAAAAGATGGCTAATGCAGGTTTTGATTTCTGATTTTGTTCTCTTGAACATGCAGGGAATACTGTGAAACCGAGGATCAAAGCGTACTCTGTAAGGTGAAAGATGCTCACCTGTCTGGGATTCTCTGTGGCTATTACAGGCATAGAGACGATCTGTAAGAGCAGAGAGGCAGCAAAACCTGCATAGGTGGCACTGCAGCTTTGGAAGGATTTTGCTTTTAGCAGCTGTGGGCTTATTACCTTGTTTTGGTGTTTGGGCTTGTGTCTCAAGAAGATTTGGGACTGGAGCCATTTATTTTCTTTGGTTTTGTTTTTTCTTTGTGTTTTTCAGTATTTGCTTTAGGTGATCAGCAACTACAGAATACCTTAAAACTACCAAAGTGTTGTGGTGGCCTTTTTGAAAATACAGAGTGGTTTAGTGGAAATAAAAGTTTGTGGTTGTGCGTGATTTACAAATTGTGCTAGTTAATTTATTAATCCTTTACTTCTGCACAGATGAAATGCTGTGGTGTAAATGACTATACGGATTGGTACCCAGTGCTGGGAGAAAACATTGTTCCAGACCGATGTTGTATGGAAAACTCCCAAGACTGTGGACGGAACTCTACTGAATCACTGTGGAAAACGGTAAGGCTCACTTTGCCCAGGTCAAGTCTTAGGTAGGGGTGGGAAGGAACAAAATAGAGGGAATGCACATGAAAGAAAATGTGACCTTGGGGTTTTAATTTTCATCTTTCATCATTTCAGGGATGTTATGAGAAAGTCATGAGCTGGTTTGATGACAATAAGCATGTCCTCGGCTCGATTGGGATGTGTGTCCTCATAATGCAGGTAATACCGGTCTGATGTTTTTCAACATGGCTTTGATTTGCTGTCAGCATTCTTGGCTCTGCTGTGTGAAAAGTGATGCTCAACTGCTTTGAGTTAGAATCTTATTTCAAAAATGTCAGATTTGTTTTATGAGTTAATTTAAGGCCATGTGCTCAGAAGGAAGCAGGTCAGTAATCGGTCCTGCAAAGAAGACATGCTACACTGGGGTTTTGCTTGCCCGTGTTTTGACTTCAGGGTACCTCTTTGGAGTTCCCATATTAAGCCATCTGTTACACTGTCCTTTCAGGAACTGGTTGATTTTTCATTTTGAAAGCAAGTTCTAGAAATTACCAAAATTAGTCAAATCATGGCCACTGAACTAAGGAGGTTGATATATTAAAAAAAAAACAAGTGCAGAAGTATCATAATAATCTAAGGTTTTGGGGTTCTTGCTCTGGGGAAGTGGTCACGGCACCAAGCTTGCCAGAGTTCAAGCATTTGGACAATGCTCTCAGGCATATGTTGTGATTTTTGTTATCCTGTGCAGGGCCAGGAGTTGGACTCAATGATCCTAGTGGGTCCCTTCAGGATATTCTATGATTCTATCACTGCCATACTTTTGGGGGAGAATATCTGAATCTGATCTTTTCAGTCACAGTTCTCTGACTGTAAACAAGCAGAAATTGTTGGGTCAAAGGGAAGAATGACTTGTATGTACTGATTCCAAAAAATTGTTGCATGTACAACAAAGAACCCCAAGAACTTTTTTGCCTCCATCTGTGCTCTGACAGATACAACCCTGGACATCACTATGTGCCTGAACAACATACAGTCAGATTTACTGCTCAGTGTTGAAGCTTGAGACATATGGCTAGTATAGAATGACTGTTCAAGCTACAGCTGGGCCACAAACACAGGTCAGCAGTGTAGTTTTGGCAACTTTCCTGTACTAAAGCCCTTATTTGTTTTCCTTCAGATTCTTGGCATGGCCTTCTCCATGACACTATTCCAGCAGATTCACAGGACTGGCAAAAAATATGATGCCTAAAGCCTCGGAAACATTATCACATCAAACCTTCTGTCTCATCATAAAAATGAACACAAAGAATGACTGCAAGGAGCATCACGCCTAGCCCTGCTGAGGAAATCCGTCCCATTGACAGATCCACTTCGTTGTTACTTGTCCAGTTATTATCACAACTTATTTGACTCATTTTTTCTTCTGTTTCACATTTGCCATTTATTTGCCAAAGAGGGGGGAAACTCCCCAAACAAATGGATTTTCTACACGAAATCATAGATCTGCTCTAAGAATGTTTCTTAACTTAAGAAAATGTTTTGCTCTACTAATCCATGCTATATGTGCGAAAATTATGTGTGTTTGACATCAAGGAAGAATTCTTCAAAGTCTTCCATTAGGCTTTCAACCCTTATGTCTGATTTACTGGAAGATTCGGAAAAGCCACTCTAACTGAGAGTCCTAGGATTTGGAGCTGCTTTGCTTTGCAGCTTCTTGTACCTTACGGTGTATACTTTTTTATTATGATAATGATGATTATTATTATTATGATGGATATAGCTTAGAATTTAGTTGCCTGACTTATAACTTCTTACTGTTTTTGGTTTTACACATCTATTGTACATTAATTTGGGAACCGCTGTGCGATCTCCAGAGGACCTGTTTTGCAAAGTTGATAGTAGGTGCGGGCAAAGACATAACTTTTCTCAAGTCCAAGGGGAGGCAGCACCTACCTTTATTAGGGCCTTGATGCCCTTACTGTAATAAAGGTATTTCCTTTAAAATCAGAGACTCTGTCCTCAGATGGAATGCAAAGCCTTCCCACTGGACCAGATGATGAGCTTCCTGCTTCTGCGAGGCAAAGTTCCAATGCCTTTACTCACCCAAAGCAGTGCCTGGCTGCTTTATGTCATGCTACTTTGAAAGCTAAAAGCACTGACTAAGCAAGTTACTGCCAGCACAAAGGAGAGAGATTGCAGTCTGACCTACTGGCAGCAGACTTCACTGACTGTGTTGTCTGCTTCAAAAAGTTTGCCCAAGGCATGGCAAGCTGCTGGATGTGAAGGAAGGGGATGGCAATTTGATGGCACCATTATCATGCCATGGCCTTTGTTATAGCAATATCCTCAGGCTAAAGACAGCTACCTCCCTTAGCTAGAAAGGACAGTTTTATTATGAGTGACCAGATGATGCAGGAAAGGGGCAATTTCCACAACAGCACTGGGAGATGATCTGTATTGGCACACCTTCAGTAGAGAATTGTTTTTTGCTGACAGATCACCAAGTTCATCCACTGGAGTAGTTTACTCAATGCATATTTTTACCAACATTCCTGTTAGAAAACTTGAACATGTATTTCTCCACTTTGAATGCTTCTTCATTGCAAGGGGCACCCACTTACCCGTTGTTACAGGTTTTTGCTGTTTTGTGAAGGAAGAAGGAAAAGCTCAGACAATGCAGGATGCTGTGATCAAACTTCAGTCAGGGCTTGACTCAGCCCTGAAAGAAACACTGCTTTTTGCATGGACAGCTGTCAGAAGTGACCTTCAAAGGTTACCTCATCCAGTGTCACGCCCAAAGAGGTATTGACACATAGGTGAGATGGGGTTCAGTATGACATTATTGGGCTGAGTTTCAGAAACTGTTGAGGATGAAGATTTTGTGCCTTTCAGAGCCACGCCATCTCAAACTACTCCTCTGGTAAACAAGATTCTATTAATGTCCAGTCTGAATATTCATACTTAAAGCTCCAAAAATACGTAATTTTCATTTTATCATTCAGCCTATCCTTTTCCTTGTGGGCTGAAATACCCACTTTATACCTGGGAGGTTTTAGTCACCTATTTATCTTCCTAATAATTCCTGCATGCATCTGTACATCTGGTAGCAATAGTGTTTTATGTGGCTTACATGCCACTTTTTTTAGTTCCTATGAAATCAGTGTGATAGGAAGGAGTGTGAATGTGTGGGAGATAGAGATGAATTTGGGGGTTGCAGTGAAGAAGAAGGTTACTATTCTTAAAGCACAGCCCTTGCCCATATGAGCACAATGCCCAAATTTCACAGGGCTCTGGTTTCCCACTGAAGCAGACAAGGCCATATGGGTTCAGATATTTCAGTTGGATTGCCCTTGAAGGAATCAGGGAAGAAGCAGAGGGAAAGCACAGAAACTGAATCCAGTTTTACTTCCATTTCTAACAAAAATTGGGACCAGGAGCATCTGAGCCTCACTGGAGATGGCTGTTCCACGTTGAAAAAGGGGCTCTGATGCCCAGTGTATCTGCTGCTACATGTAAGACTGTATCCAAAGTTGCTAAGATGTGTTCCCATTTTTGCAAGAAAAGACGGGATGGTTTTTGTCTGATGGCTCCACTGCATTCTCCCTTTGGGCAGAGGTGCTTAGCTTTCTCTAGATTTTCTGGTGCTCAAAAAGAGCCAGGTGCAGGGCTGAGTAGGAGCATCATCTCTGTCCTTTTGGGTCGCACAGTGGTATCTGCCGCATCTTACATTTTAATCTGCAGTCAGTTTTTGTACAAAAATGGCAAAATATATTAGTGAAAGTAATAAGGAAATAAAAGATGTTTATGAGTAACTCAGAGATGAAATGTGTAGTTGCAAACTCAGCTACTTTGCCTTCCATCCAAACTTATTTTTCTAGAATGCTTCATTCCATTTCACGATCTAGAAGCATAGATCCTGAAATCTTTTTTTAATGACTACTTTAGGCATTTTAAGCACAGTATTAAGTGAGATAGTTACATGAGCTTCATGTATTCATCTCTACGAAGCCACCTACAGGAGAGGAGTCAAAAGCAGGACTGATTTGTGTCTCTAGCTGACTCTCTGATGTGGGAGGTGATGACAGACATCCTCAAAGATGCAGAAAGGTAATACCACTTTCCAGGCAGCAAAAAACAGCTCTGGAAAGTGTGAGGTTGCAGCAGTCGGTTTGTCAGAGAAGGCACTAATTGTCCTGTAAACTGGTCAAAGGGAGCTTTGACTCATGTATGTATGCACTTTTTTTTGCTTATGCTGGTGGGTGGCTGCCTGTGTGTTTTCCCCAAATGTCACTCTGATTATTTAACTATAAGTTTTTAGCATGTTTTTAAATAAAAACTGATACTGAGTAAAAGTATCTTTAATATACACAAATATTGATTTGTAAAAATGCATACCTCCCTGTATCTCTAATTCATGAAAGCACAGTTCAAGTCTGTGAAAGTGCTGTTTCTCTGAGTGTTCCCTCAGACTGTAGCATACCTGCTGTCTTACTGTCCTTCATGCTCGGGAGCTGCCATAGAAATTACAAAGAGACAAAACAGGAGAACTGCCCGAAGAAGCTCTGTTTGAAAGCTGATGAAGTGTGAATCAGCAGTGAACTCTGCTCACTCCTGGTCAAAACCAAGGCTGTTTGTTACAGGAAACCCAGGTGGAAGTCACTCAAAAAAAGTGCCCATAGCTAAGTAGCATGTGAAATGCTGAAAGACAATGACATAAATGTCTCTGAGATGACAGAAGATGCCTTGGATTGGATATGTCATGCTTTGTGTTCCTGGACTATGGCTACGTTAGGCCAACTCTCCTATCCTGTGTCCACCCGCTCCATTTCTATGCATGAAATACAAATTCACACACAGGGAGGGTGCAAGCACAGAAGACAGCCAGACTGATCGTCATGGTCTTTCCTGGGTGACATATTGGTCAGGCATAGAAAAAGCAAGGAGGAAAAGGATGTTTTCCCAGCAGATGGTTCTTGGGAGCAGTATGGAATAGGCCACACATAATTCTGATGTAACTTCTTTCCGTAAGTTGAGCAGCTTCATCCTGTAGCTGGCAAGGGGAAACCTGGAGATGTTTGCCTCTGGGGTAGCCATCTGTTTTGCAGTGGAGAGTAGACACTAAGAAACAACATGCCATTCCCACCGGGTGATGTTTGCACCAGTGTTTCTTCTATGCAATACCTACTTTCGCCTTTATATAAAAGATTTTTATTAGGATGATATAAAAATAAAGGATTTTTTAAAAGGTGCTTCTTTCAGCTCATTTGTCTTCTAACTTCACCACCAAAACTGAAAAGGGGCAAAAAAAAAAAAAAAAGGTGACTCACAGAGATCTATTCCAGCCCCACTGCAGCTAAAATCCAGAGCTCCTGAAGCTGTTTCATTTGTGAAAAGATTCCTCTCCCCTGCCTCCACCCCACCCTCCCCAGTCCTCTCTCATCCTTCAAAACAATATTAAAACAGAAAAAGTTGTGAAAAATCCCCAAATAATGGAAAAATGGTTTTGGAGCCTGATACAGGAAAGAGATTGCAAGGGTCATAGAGAACACAGAATAGCTGAAATGAGGACAAAATAGTAGAGAGCTTGAAAGACATTCAGAGGACTCTGAGAAGTCTTGGACAAAATGATTAACTGAACACAGCATCTGAGGAGTGGCATGGTGAGTACATGAATTACAGCTTGGATGCATGTATGTGTGCACACTTGAGTATGGGAATGTGCTGTAGCTGTGTGGAAGCCTGACTGTGTGTACACCAGAGAGATTCTGGAGATTATATTTTCTCAGTTTATGGGAGGTTGACTTTCACCCACAGCTAATCACCACATGGTATCTCACTCACCCCCCCCCCCCGAAAACCACAGCAGCATGGGGAGAGCAAAAGTGAGAAAACTCACAGGCTGAGATAAATATAGTTTATTAACTGAAGGAAAGAGGAAGAGAAAAAAAAAAACAGTGATGCAAAAGCAGACTGATGTCCAGTCAGTCTCTGGGCAACAGCTGCCTTCCCAAAATCTCTCTCTCCTCAATTTCTGTTACTGTGTATGATATTGTAGGGCATACAGTATCATATGGGTCAGTTTAGGTCAGCTGTCCTGATGGTGTCCCCTCCAAATTCTCAAATACCCCTGAGGGAGGGTGAGTGGGAGCAAGAGAAAGCTTTAAGGCTGTGCAAGCAGTTCTCAGCAATAGCCAGAACACAGGTATGTTACCAGGGCTTGCTTTAGTCACAAATCCCAAATGCAGCACCATACAGTCTGCTACAAAGAAAATTAACTCTATCCCAGCCAGACCGCAGTAGACTCTTAAACATCACTTGAGTGCTGCAGGTGGATGGAGACATCATGAGGATCCAGAGAGATGTGGAATGCAATTTTGCCTCTTATGAATACCTATCCTCCCCAGACTTCCCAGACAAAAACAGTCTCTCAACCCCACAGTTTGCATTGTGCCATTGTGGCTGATCATCCCAGTCTTGCTCACCACATTCCCCAGGCACAGAAGAAATTGTGGGTACTTGCTTGTGCTGCCTAATGTAACTGGGCTAAAAAGTACTCAGCAAAGTACTCTACAGACATAGTCCAGCCCAGCATAGGCAGCAAAGATGGACAGATTGCTCCCTACATAAGTGTTATTCACTATGAGGGGAGGTGGACTGAGATGCCATATCCAGACATTGAACAAGTTTGCAAGTAATCCTTTCCTAGGTTGCAATGGATGGTGGGAGAGGAATGCATCAGGCTGTGGATAAGTCTTTGTTCTCTATATAGAGACCTAATGTGTATATTCAAATCTCAGGCTGATGGAGTCCATTGCAGGCATGTACAAAGAAACAAACACTATGCATACTCCACAAAGGAAGATGTTAGGGGTTAGGCTTTTTCTTCATTATTCTTTCTTTCTTTCTTTCTTTCTTTCTTTCTTTCTTTCTTTCTTTCTTTCTTTCTTTCTTTCTTTCTTTCTTTCTTTCTTTCTTTCTTTCTTTCTTTCTTTCTTTCTTTCTTTCTTTCTTTCTTTCTTTCTTTCTTTCTTTCTTTCTTTCTTTCTTTCTTTCTTTCTCTCTCTCTCTCTCTCTCTTTCTTTCTTTCTTTCTTTTCTTTCTTTTCTTTCTCTCTCTCTCTCTTTCTTTCTCTCTTTCTCTCTCTTTCTCCCTTCCTTTCTCTCTTTCTTTCTTTCTCTCAGGTAGTTTTCTCCCCATTTGTTGCTCTGGAGATGATGAATGGCCAACACTTATGAGACAAAAGACCTAGCTGGATGTCTTTGAATTCCATTGCAATGGTCCTGGGGGAGGAGGGGAGAAGGGGTGCAGTTGCAGAAGAAGGGGGGCTAGTAGATGGGGAGTGAGCTCTCTGCCTGGGAGGTTTCTCTTGGGAAATGCAGAGATACCGTGAGAGGTCAGGGGGCTTACTGAGACTTGGTTGGGGGTCAGGGACTGCACTCAGCCCCTTCTGCTCTCAGCGACTGGAGGGGAGAGCAGTCGTGTGTGGTGTGGAGAGTGGACACACGTGTTTCCCTAGACGGGGCTGCACTGTGGTTTGCTACAGACGAGCTTGCCACCTGAAGCGGCACTGAGACTGGCTGCTCCCTGTAAGTTTTGCAAGGGGAAAGAAAGTTTTGCATCTCTCCTCTTGCCCCTCGCTTGAGCCGCCATTGCCCGAGGAGGGGCGGCTGAGCTGGCCCACAGCGCCCCCTGCAGGCGCAGGGCAATCACCGCACCCCCTGCCCGGCCGGGAGCCAGCAGCGCCCCTGCCGCAAGTGACCGGAACTGCACCGAAGGGGAGCGTGCCCGATAGACGAGAGAAAGCTGTCACTGTGTTTGGGGTTTGTTTGCTGTTGCTGCTGTTGTGATTGTCTGTTTGCCTTGTTATATATATAGTCTAGTAAAGAACTGTTATTCCTTTTCCTTTATCTCTGCCTGAAAGCCCTGTTATTTCAATGCTTTAATAATTTGGAGAGAAGGATGTCATATTTTCCATTCCAGGAAGCTTCCCGCCTTCCTGGGCAGACACCTCTCTCTTAAACCAGGACATACAGGAAGTAGGGTGATGAGTGAAGTTCAGTCATTAGAACAACACAGATGGAGCAGCACTGCAGGGTCAGTGAGAACCAGCCCCATGCAGCTGTTCATGTGTTATACCTGAGAAATCATGCTGGTGCTGGCAGAGTCACTGGTTTTGAGGTTATCTCATTCTCTGACTGTTTGACTCAGGTAAATAGTCATTATGTAGTACTGCAGTTAGCAATGCTGTGCCAGCCTAGAAAAGGTAGGAGTCAAAAATTAGTGCAGATATTATAGTGTTCGTTGTGGGTCTTCTCTGTACATCTCCAGAGAGAAACAAAGAAACTAAAAGCTCTCTGCTTTCTGCAGCTGCTACAAGTGCATCTATTTGTATTTAAACTCTCTCAATGTCAGCTGAAGATCTGGAAACTTCCCAGACTCCTCCTTCCTGCAGAAAAAAACCCTACAAAATACCACTACCAAAAAAAATTCCCCAAACCCCAAACAAATAATCCAGAGATGATGGAGTTCAGTCTACCCATAAAAGGAGACAGGCAACTGGCAATTTTAAGCAGCCAAGTAATGGTGAAGTATTGGATATAAGAGTGAGACAATCAGGGGAAAAAAGAATATCAAGGAATGTGCGAGAAAAGTGAAACGAGACAAGGAAGTCCCTAGGGTGTGGGTTTTATTATCCATTAATAAGAGGTAGAACATGTACTGCTAGAAAAGGATCTTCTAGAAAACAAGGATGCAGGAGATTCAGGTTAAGAAAAATTACCTGACACATTTAACAGCTCCTTGAACAACAAAT